TTTATCCCTGATGTGCACTTGAGCAGCCAGATTTTGTTTTCAGGTGTGTAATTAATTTTTTTTAACGTGATTTCTCTCCTAGGAAACTGCAAACAAACAGTTCTGGCTTTCATGGCTGGGCAGCTCGGGTGAGCGTCAGGGCAGGGATTAGGCAGACAAGGACCCGAGGCCGGATCTCAGAGGATGTGAGGAGCTGGGGTTTTGCAGAAACCTCTTGCTCCTACTTTCCAAATCCTTCATCCTTCAGTGCAGCCTCTGCCTCCTCCAGCACCACCACACTCCCCATGGGCACTGGAGAAGGCTTGAAAGGGGAAGCAACAGCCACCTTCCCTGTTCCCAACACAATCGGCTGGGAATTACCATTTTTATTAAGACCTAACATGTCCTTGGCTGCTGGGAATGTGATTTGCTCCTGGAATGAGATTACAGCAGCTCCTGAGGATCCCATATCAGCATCCACCTCACTGTGATGATGCTCCCAACCCCCAGACAGAGGTGTCTCCATCAGTGGATGCTCACAGGCATCTCCACCAGCAGGAGAGGTCATGCTCAGGCACAGAACAGGGGGATCCATGGGGATCCCCTATCCTGAACTCTTTGCCCTTCTTCTCATCATCCCTGGGATGTTTGCTGCCTGGGAGTGATGCCGGCTATTTTTGCATCACCCCTCACCTCTCACAGGGCAGGCACAAGGCAGGATGGAGGAGCAGCAGTGCCGAGGGGGGATGATGTCTGCCCCTCTGCACGTCCCAGAGCCCCGCTGAGTGTGGGCCGGGGTCACAGGGGCTCCCTGAGCTGCTCTGCATCCCGAGCCAGAGCCATCCTCCTCCGATGGAGAATCACCTGCTGTGAATGAGAGAGAGAAACCTCTGCAACGCTCCTGCTGCCAGGGAAGTTGTTAGATGAGTTTTGCCGGCGGTTTTCCAGATGAAAGGAGGTGAAAATCACCTCCATTAGTTGGCAGAGGCAGGTGGGAGGATGTGTGGAGAGAGGGCTGACTGTGCAGATGCCAACCCTCTGCCCTCACAGCCCCCCGGGCATGGGGTGCCAGTCTGGGGGCCCAGGATTTGCTCTTGTGCCACCCCAACAAGGGCACCTGGGATGGTGCTGAGGCTGAGGGAGTTTTGGGGTGGCTGGGGGAGCAGCCATGAGGGACAACTCCAGCTGGTGACACCCCTGGGACAGGTCCCGTGCACTCCTCTGCTTCTGCCCCACCAGCACTGCCCCACCAGTGGCAGCAAAATAAATCCACAGGCCCCTCAGAATGACCCTCCAGGAGTGGATTTTTGCCACCACAAAACAGGCTGTGACCTCTTGAGGGGGGATTCCACCAGCCAGACCCCCAGAACCACGGGCCAGACTTCTTGGGGGGGTTTCCTATGAGTTTGATTATCTGTTGTGACTTTTGGGAGGAGACAGTGCAGTCTCCAGGGGCCACAGGAGGGGGCTGAGTGCTCTTCTCCCCCATCCTGCTCCCCTTTGTTCTTTGAAGCTGCTTTCCAAGGAGCTGCTTAGCATTCGGAGCAGGCGCCCGCACCGATTCAGGGCAAAAACTCTGGTTTGCCTTCAAAAACACATCAATCTTCTGCAGCCTGCCATGAAGGGCAGCTCCTGCCCTCCAAAACAGGACAGAGGGCACATGCAGGCTGCCTTGGCTTTCCCAAATGTGTGTGGTGTAAAATGTGCATGCCCCATCCTACCGCCCCTCACCCATCACTGCCCAGCTCTGCAAGCCCCTGCCTTCAAAGAAAAGGCATCAAAACCCCAATCTCTTCCATCTCCTTTTGGTTTTTTTTCCCCTTCTCCAGGGAGGGAGTTCAGCTCCCAGATACTGCGCGCACAGACGCTGAGAAGAAAATTTCCAGGAATTGCTGCTCTCTCTGGGAAATTCATCACAGGGATCCAGGCAGCTCAGTTGATGCCAGGCACTCCCTGCCCAGCGTTTGGGGCTGTGGGCAGGCTGTATCTGTGTCTGTGACAAGCTGTACCCCAGCATTCACCAGGAACCAGCACTTTTCCCACCAAGGTTTGGTGCCACATAAGGGGTACAAGCTCATCTTCCTAAGGAGAATGTCTGCTTTATCTGCATTCCCTTTGCTGATGGAGGCCTGGCTGTGGGCTCACCAGGCGGAGGAGGCAATACTGAAATAGCTTCTTTTCTTATACTTCACGTGGGGATTATTATTATTATGCCTCTCATGAGTCCCCCCTCTGCTGCCAGCACAGGAAAAACCCCCGTGGTGCCACCATCAGCAGCCCTGCCACCAGGCAGGATGGGGCCGTGTCCCCTGGCACTGCAGCCCGGCCCCTGGCACCATGGGCTTCCCTCTTCCACCCACACACGGTGGGAACATCCTCCCAGGCACCTGCAGTGGCACAGGCAGAGCTTGGAGCTGAGCATCTCCTCCTGCACTGCACCTGTGCAGCATTGCTGGCTGCCATGGGGGGTGAAACGTGTCCCTGCAGGGGGAAAATTGCCTGCACAACACAAACCCTCGGACCTTTGCTCCGAAATGTTTGTTTATGACTAATCACAGCCGTCCCAGTGCCAGCTGGGGACCAGTGCCCCCTGTCCTTGTGGCCTTGGCAGCCAGCAGCTCACCAGTGCCTGGTGACAAAGCCCCAGGCTGTGACAGCACCGCAGCTCTCGGGGACTTTCATCCTAAGGGTGCAAAGGAGGAGTGGGTCCAGCTCCAGCCCACCCATGGCCATCTCCCCTGACAGCTCTGGGCTGGTGGCAGGGCTGGTGGCTCCCATTAGTGAGGTGAAAAACGAGTATTGATCATTGCTGTGAGTCCAGCACAAGGCACGCACAGCCACGGCCGGATCGATGGAGCCGGGGAGGCTTCTGCTCTCCCTGAGGTTTCTGTGTCCGTCTGGGGCTCCAGGAGGAAGCCTGAGCTGTGCCAGCATCCAGCACGGCCCCTGCACAGCTCCATCCTCACAGTGCAGCCTCTGCCCAGCTCTCCAAGCCCATATTTCCACCCGGAGGAAGCTCCAGGGTAGGGATGCTCACATGTGCATGGCAGGGGTGAGAAGGCAAAGCAGCCATCCCACAGCTGCAGCCTCTCCATCCCTCAGTTCCCACGCTGGTGGCATGGAGACAGCCCCAAGGATTGTCTGCCTGGCAGGGCTTCCTCTCGGGCTCCCATCTCGGCAGGGATGCTCTGTGCACACAGGTTCCCCTCAGAGCTGCGTTCCTGCCCTGCTCCACATCCCCAGGGCTGACTGTGCTGGTGTTCCAAGGGGCTCACAGCCTTGGTGCAACCGCAGGAACGGGCTGAAAATTCGGGATTTCCGTCCCTCCGGAGGAGGATGTCGGCAGAGGATGAAGGCAGAACTACACTTCCCAGAGTGCTCCTGGCACTGCCGGGGGAAAGGCTGAGGGACCCAGACACCAGCTCCTCCCTGCTCCTATATTATTCTCCTTCTTGTTTATTTGTGGGTTTTCTGCACTTAACTGTCTGCCTCATCCACTTAATTGGGGGATTATTGCCGCTACCTGCCCGCCCGCCAGAGCCCAACTCATTACTGGGGTTTATTTATTAGCAGCGAGGCTGCAGAAGCGCACCCTGCAGCTCCCTCCTCTGCTCCTCGGGCACAGGCGGCTGGAGGCCATGCAGGAAAGCGAGCAGGAGCCAGTTTGGCCAGGAGCAGGTCAAAGCCAGCCTCTGCCATGCACGGAGGCACAGCAGCATCCTCCTGCAGCGCCTGGCATCTTGGCAAAGCACAGGAAGGACCAGAAGCCTGGCTGCTCTTTAAAAGTGTTCCCTGGGCTCGGGAAAGGCCAGCACAGCGCTGTCCTTCTGCTCACGGCAAGGCACCCCTGTCCTCGGCACGGTGGCAGCTGGTGACAGCCGTGTGGCAGGGAGGTGACGAGGCCACTGCCCCCCAAGCCCAGGAGGAGCCAGCAATGAGCGCCCCACGGCTCCTCTCCAAAGCCTGCTCCCGTTTCCAGCCGGGAGAATCTGGGGGAAATGTGGGACAGCAGGAGAGAGCTGCATATTGAGCGCTTTGATAAATAAAACATGTGCAGAAGGCAATCAGAGCTGCCCACTTGGCTGCAGCAGCAGCAGCAGCTCCGTCTGCGGCGACTGCACGGGGGGAATTCACAAATTCACAAGCGGTGCCACCCCGGCCGCCAGCCCCGGCGCTGCTCCTCCGCTCGCATCCAAGTTTTGCAGCCTCAGCACCGAGGGGGATTGATTTATTCATCAGCCTGTCTCTCCATCCCGCAGCAGCCCTGCAGGAAGGAGTGGTGCAGTGGCTGCTGCGCGATGTGACGAGCGGCACGGCGGGAGCAGGGAGGGACAGCCGGAGGTGGCTCCCGGGTGACCCGAGTCTGACCCTGCGGTGATGCCTGGGGGAGGAGGAGGGATTCCCCAGGGTGGGAAATGGGAGCAGCAAACTCCCCTGGGGCCGTGGTGCTGGGAGCTCCTCGGGCATTAAGGCACAGCTGTCTTGCACCCCCTTTTCAGGAGGGAGAGACAGGACCCCCCTGTTCAGAGGGTGATCAGAGATCACAATGGCCAAACAGATTGCAAAGACAAGTTTCAATGCAAGGAGCCCACCAAGCATCTCCAGGGCTTGGTGGGAGGTGTTCTGGGCATCCACAAACCCAAAACAAAATCTAGGGAGAAGAGGGCCTCAGCTGCCTGCCAGGAACACAAGGGAGCAGCCTGTGGGCAGGAGAAGGATGAGTTCCAGCTCCTCTGGCGAGTGGGGATGTTGCAGTCTTCTTGGCCATGCTCTGCACCAATCCCTGAACCAGAGTTTTGGCTTCTTAAAGCCTCTCTGGACAAGTTCTTGCTCTTCTCACACCCCCTCCTTCTGCTGTTCCCCACTCCATGCAGCAGCACGTGGCCAGACTGGCCATGTCCCCATCCCGGAGCTCTGCAGCTCCCAGAGCAGCCCCTGCTCCAGCCCCTCCACCTCCTCTGCTCCCTCCTGGCTTTTCTGTGAGCCCTGCAGGCTCCAGCAGCTTCATGGCTCTTCATCACCCCATCCTCAGGACACCCTGTGAGAGAACCTGGGCAAGGGCTTTGTGCAGCAGGGATCTCTGATCTGGGGAGCACCTGAGACACCCAGGGGTGCCCTGTGTAGAGACCCCTGCTCTGGGGGCTTGGCAGTGCCACGGGAGAGGAATCACCAAATCAGGGAGGCAGAGAAGCACCGGGGCCTGTGGGGAGACAGCAAATATTAGAAGGAATGGCTGGATGGGGAGGAACTGGCAGGGCCAGGGGGTCCAGAGGGATGGCTGGGGAGTGGGGGGAATTGCTGGGTACTGGAGAAACGGGTGGCCAAGCAATGGGGTACTGGGAGACACGGCCACGCACTGGGGGTGGTTGTCATGCACCGGAGGCACAGGCGGTACCGGGAGGGACGCTCCGTACCGGGGGTGATGCGGGGTGAGGGGGGCACAGCCGGGTTGCAGGGGCGGATGGCTGAACAGCGGGGTGAGGCCATCTCGGTACCGGAGGAGCAATTACCGGTACCGGAGGGAACGCGGCCGGTAGC